TTTTTAAAATCCGATGTGTGGATCACATAATATTTCAAAAATTTTAACTTTTGAGTATAGATGATCCGCACTGTATACAAAAGGTGCATCAGAATGATCAAGAATTAGTATTAGCTTATCATGACAGATCTGATGGTGGGTTATTTGTCACAGTGGTTGAGATGGAATTTGCTGGTCATTTAAGAGTTAAATTAGATATTCCAGATATTGTAAAAAATGGTGATTTTATCAGGTCACTTTTTAATGAGGAACTTGGTGTTATTATACAAATTAGAAAAAATTATTTAGGAAAAATTATTGAAATATTTACAAAATCAAATTTTCCTAGAAATCATATATATTGTGTTGGTTCAGTATCAAATGGCCAAGATGTTATAATAAAATTTCAAAGTTTTATAATATATAAATCAACATGCATGGAATTACAATGAATTTGGTCAGAAACTTCTTTTCAAATTCAATCATTATGTGATAATAGTATTTGTGCTAAAGAAGAGTTTGATAATATTTTATATGTAAATAATCCAGACTTACATTTTCATTTGACATTTGATCCAACAGAAGATGTGACTTTGCCATTTGTGAAATCACCAACTACATTAAAACCAAAAATAGCAATATTACAAGAACAAGGTGTAAATGGTCATATGGAGATGGCATTTACATTTTATTTCCAGGATTCAAACCAATTGATGGGTATATGCCTGATATGCTATCAGGAAAAGTTGCATTAAAAGATCTCAAGGGGGATTGTAGCATGTGGTGGGTTTTCTTATGGAGATGTACTTGGAGCTGGATCAGGATGGGCAAAATCTATCTATTTTATTACATTCCAATATGAAAAAAGAATTTGAAAATTTTTTCAAAAAAAGAAATGACACTTTTACCCTTGGTATTTGTAATGGATGTCAATTTTTAAGTCAATTAAAAGAAATAATACCTGGTACAGAATATTGGCCAATATTTAAAAGAAATAGAAGTGAACAATTTGAAGCAAGATTCAGTTTAGTTGAAATTACTTCACATACATCATCATCATCTTTAAATGTTATCAACATGATAAAATGATAAATTTTGAAAGAATATGGATTGGTAATGTACATACAGATTTCTTACATCACCCTTGTGATTTGACAGCTTTTATTTAATCACCAGTCCATGTTCTTGTTTTTGATGCAATATGTCTCATTCACCTTTATATTTACAGATTTGCTCAAAGTTTAAAAATCCTTTCCAAAATCCTCAAAAAATATATTCATTAAAGGTATGCAGAGTTTTCAGTAATGGCAATGGAATGTTGTGGAATAAGGATGTGAATGCTGCAAGAAATATAAGAGATATTTATAAATTTATGTGTAAAATGAAGGGGAACAACTTTCACATTTTTTTAGGTCATAATTTACATTATTAACTTATGGACCTTGTGGGGGATTTCCTAGAAGCAATGGTCAACCCAGTAGCACAATGTATATATACTTATCTGTATGTGTACATGGGACAGTTCTGATCTATCAGTTCTGTAAAGTGTAATAGGTTAGTTTTAACTCAATCTTTGATCTTATTTGATTTTAATATTAAGTGGAAATGGAAAACACTAATAATTCAAATTTTATTTTGTCACTTGTTATTTATAATAATAATAATAATAATAATAATAACGGATAATATTACATTTTTACTAAGCGTGCCTGTATGATGACATTTAAATGATTATATTAATAATTTTATGATAAAAATTTTTATCAAAATCCACTAACATGATATGCTCAAATCTTTTTTTTTAGATCAGCTATAAGTTTAGATGGTAAATGAGTAATTACACTTTATAAATCAATCAACCTTTTCCATAAATAAGATGATGAATTCCATCTAGTACTAATATCTTGAATCACTGTATGAATATTTGAATAACTTAACTCTTTTTGCGATTTTCTTTTTGTTTAGGAGTAGTGAAGAAGTTAATTAATCTTTTGCATCTTAAAAACAGATTCTTGAATGTTTATAATGACTTATTTACAACTAATTATTATGTGCGAGTAAAATACAAAATCTATCATTGGTAATGGACTCTTCTGATAAAATTGGAAATTTACCATTAATGTTAATTAAAATAATATCATCATTTACTGATATTTAGAAAGTGTTGTGGATGGATATTCGAAGATATAAAAATTAATTGACACCGATTTCGAATATGTTAATTAACATGAATCATTTCGATTTCTGATATTCGAATAGTAATAGGAACAGATTTATTGTTAATATTAAATACACAATAGATATGATGTCTACTTCTACCACCTAAGTGTGTATATAAATTCTTGCATCAACTTGAACTTCCATAAATTTATTTTGTTTTTCAAATTACGTAATGATCTTCAAGCCAATAAAATTTAATTATTGCGTGATATCTATATAGAAAGGGGTCATCACAAAATTTAGCCAATGAAATCAAATTCCACTATGCTCATATTTGATCGATCGATCAATCATATGATTATTTAAAAATAATAATAATGGATAATAATAATAATAATAATCCTGAATATATTCATTCTGGTAAAACCAATTCATACCGACGTCGTTCTAAGAGTTTATCTGATAAACCTGATAGAAATCATCATCATCGCCACAATCTACAACCAATACAGCAGCAACAACCACAACTACAATGTGGTAATGATGAACGAGTGATTGAGGGAGGAGTGTTTGATGCTAACAATATAGGAAGTGGTAATGTTGTTGCAGGTGATGGTGGACTGATTTCACCTTTTCATCATTGTAAGCATCATCACCATCATCCGCCACCACCACATTCTCATTATCAACCAATTAATAAATTTAATGCTGATATGTGGAAACAGGTTTATATTGCCGTTATTATTAATCTTATCAATTTTTTGTAATTTTTTACTAAATGTAATATAAATGATTCTTATATGTGTACAGGAATTTAGACAGAATGTTATGGGGAAATTGTTTAAAGAAGAAAGATTTAAAGCTTTTCAGAATCGTCGTAACATAGAAAGTTTTATGGATATTGATGATGATGATGAAGAATGGCAAGAGCAACAAAAAGTAAATGAATTTCAAATATTAATATTAATATAATAATCTTTAATTATTTGTCTAATTAATTTTTTGTAAAATTAAATAAGTTGATCAATAATGTTGTTCAATGTGAATGGCAAATTTATCAAAATATTACTTCTTCTCAATATCAACAATGGTTACAACAACAACAACAACAAAATATTAATAATTTGCAACTTCAACAAGAAAACTTTATTAATAATTTACCAAGAGAAATTGCTCAAGCTATTACAACTAAAAATCTACCACCTGAATGGTTCTGTCAATACAGAGGAGTTATTAATAATTAGTTACTTCTTATCATCATGTGCCATCATTTCATTATTAATAAATAGTATATTTTTAAAAAAAAAAACTAAAAAAGCAAAAAATAAACTCATAATTGCTTAATAAAAATATCAATATCAATTAGTACCTAGCAGCATCATTATTACATCAGTTGACTTGCACAACCACTTATTTATTCTGTGGTGTAGGAAAACTTAAATTATAATTTTCACATTACAAATCATGAAAAATGAAAATTTGATTTTGTTGAAATTATTAGAGAAATTTAGAACCCTTTGGTTTTTTTTTTAATTTCTTTATTTTTAAAAAAAATTTTTGAAAATTAAAAGATTTTTTTTTTGACATTTAATTATGGTAAAGATTTTCAGATTTCTTTTTGATTTTTCACTCTTGACTTATTATAATCCTTTGCAGTTAACAATCAATATTGTTAATATTATTATTATTACAGCATTAGCTTACATGTTGCAACAATACTTATTACAATAATTTTGTTGGTAAGTTTCTACTTTGGATCCAAATTAACTGGTCAATTGATTCATTGACTGTGATTAAAATAAAATAAAAATTGGATCATTATTATTGTTAGGTTCAAAGTGCTTTAAGTGCATATTATACATTTAAAAATTTTGATGGTAAATAAAAAATTCATTAAATTAATTCAAAAAATTCCTTAATGTGATTTCTTTTTCTTTGCTTTAAAGACACATCATTTTTCAATGAAACTATTGGTATCATCATAGGCATTTGGAATATAGTCAAGGGTGTTGTGGCTGTTGGTGGTCTTTATGGTGGTATCACTGTAACTAATCAATTTTATTTTTTTAAATTGACGATCCAATGAAATGTCAATCCTTTTACTATTACAGTCAAGTATTTTACCAAATTTGGAAATACTAAATGCCGTAATGATCGATGGTATAGAAGAAATTCTGATTGGCTAAATTCAATCAGGGATAATACCCTGTAATGATCGATGCTATGAAAGTAAATTCTAA